TAATATTTTAAAGTATCAATAATTGTTAAGTTTAATTAAAATTAATAACGGGCAATGTTAATGGTGACAATTACGTCAAAAATGTTTATTTAAATCGTAGTGCCAGTTATAGATTTCCGTATCGTAAGGACGGCATTCCTTCCTCCCGTAGAAATTTTTAAGTTTTATCTTTCACCGTTAAGGTCTTTGACATGACCAATCACAGTGCTTGTTATGGACATGCGCTGTAGGGTGACAGCGCGTAGACACAAAATATTTGAGGAGCTACTTTGCAAAACGCAGTTTTTGTAAAATTTAGAGTTTTCAGTATTAAGTGCACTTAGGTGCTTAAAACTAAACTACATCGACTAACAAAACTCGTTCGGATCAAATCGTGATATTTTACGAATTAAAGGGTCTCAAATTCCGGTGTTTGTTTCAAACTGTAATTTTTATTGCTAGGTTGTCCGTTTCAAAACGTAGTTTTTCTAGAAATGACTTTGGCTGTCAAAGTTTGACAGTAAGTAAAAACTCTCTTTTTATCCACAAACTAATCTGTGCACGAACTTTTGTGAAAGTTTCATTAATAATTGAATCGAAAATGAATGCAGATGGTGAGCAATCGATTTCGGTAAAACACAACACGACTGGTTCACGAAAGAAAATTAAGAAACCTCAGAGAAGAGCATTGGAAAAGGAATTTAGGTAATTTTTGCAAATTGAACAATGAACATTGTTGAGCAATAACAATTTTTAGACACGCTAATCATTTTCCCAATTTGGAGGATATGGATACAAGGCCCTGCAATCATGAAAGAGGTCCAACTGGCAAAGAGGCGAAGATTAACTGCAACGCAATCAGCCGTGGTGCTATTATTGACGCTAGAAAAAAGTTATACGCTGAAAGTAATCGTACTATTCAGGACAAGATTGCACATTTATTAGTAGTAAAGCATCCTAGGAATAGGTCAGGTTTTAAAAATGTAAAAGTGTTCGTATAAAGTACATTTTTTATGATTTTAACCAAAAAAGACACCTTGTTTGTCAAAAATTTTTTACTAAGGCACTTAACATCACACAAAGGCGTGTTATAATAATTGCTAAAAAAATGATCGCCGGTAATGGTATAAAGGAACGTAGAGGAGGAGATCGTCGGTCAAAAATGTACGATGAAAGAAGAAAAGCTGTGCGTGATTTTTTTGGAAATTTGAATGCAACTGAATCGCATTATAACAGAAAAATCAAAACGAATCTATTTACCGTCGGATTGATCCATTTTAAAATTATGGAAAATGTACAATTCTGCTGCTGATCTCAATTTAAAAGTAAAAAAAACTTTTTTTATGGGATCTTTGGAAAAGATTTTACATAGTATTTGGTTCGCCAGCTACCGACGTGTGTAGTTATTGCTATCAGCTTAAAAAACAGCTTAAGATGGCAACGAATCCAGCAAAGAAAATGGAAATCATGACCAAATCAAGACTGCATAAATTATCTGCTAAGCAATACCACCTACCTATTAATGAAAAAAAAATGATGAAAATACTTTTACAGTGTGTTTTGATCTTCAGCAAGTACAAGTTCTTCCCAAAGTCCCGATACAAGAGGCTTTCTATGCAACTCAACTTTCTTTGTATAATTTTTGTGTTACTGATAGGCAAACCTCTGATCCTGTGTTTTACACCTGGTTGGAGACTCAGGCAAATAGAGGCTCAAACGAGATAGGATCGGCAGTATACAATTTTCTTATGAACGCTTACCTACCTCAAGATTGTGAAGTTATAAGACTGTTTTGTGATGGGTGTTCTGGACAAAACAAAAATTCGAATGTGGTCAATATTCTGACATACTGGCTTAACAATAAAGCCCCACATAGTATCAAAAAAGTTATCTTGTTTTTCCCAGTAAGGGGTCACTCATTTCTACCTGCGGATCGAGTTTTTGGAAGAATTAAAAAGAAAACGAGGAAAAAGAAGATTATTGAAGCATTTTTTCGGAAATAGGGACAGTGAAAGTTTTGGGAACTGATTGGGATGTTTATGACATAAAACAGCTAAATTCTACTTTCAAAAAACTTGATAATATTCGTGAATCGAAGAGAATTTTAATACAAAAAACCGATTCTGGAAAAGTTACTTTAAAATTCGAGAACTTCTATAAAAACTACCTAAATGAACCAAAACCCTGCCTTAGACCTGGAAAATCACTTTTCAATTTAAAATTAAATAAAGTTAAACTAGGTAGACCCATTAAAGAGAAGAAAAAAAAGATATTGACAATTTGTTACAAAAATCCTATGGAAGAAACGAAGCTGGCAATAAAGTTAATTGGAGGGAAGTAGGAGATCTAAAATGGTATGCAGATCTAATAGATAACCAAAACAATGTTGCAACCGGGGAAGAAGAAGGGATCGATGAAGAAAACTTGATCTGCGACTGCAACGAAGTAGACATTCGCCTGAAAATTTAATACCCTTAATATTTTTTAAGTTATATATTAGAATTTTTTTTTAATTAACTAATTTTTTGTTACTAGTTACCTTTTAAATAAAATTAATGTTTATTTTTTGAGCAGGTCGCAATTTATAAGTAAATTCCGTTGCAAACCCCTCAGTATTTTGGGGTGTTCAGTTCAAAATGTAGTTTCTATTTTTTTAAAGAGATACAGTAACGGCAAGAAAAAAACAATATTTTGACAACGAACTTGAATGGAATTCTCGCATTTTTCTTTAATTTTTACATTTTTTAAAAAAACTCAAATTTCTTAATTAAGTATGTAGCAAAGATTTCTCTACCCTGAAAAAATTACTTTTTTCAAAAACTGCGTTTTGCAGAGTAGCTCCTCATTTAAAATACATGATTGTTTGGTATTATTTAAGGTAGGTAGGTGTTCAGTTTATTAAATAATTTGTGTCTCTACATAGGATATTTAGATATTGTTTATATACAAAAAAAAAAACCGTAGTTTCCCGGTCTAACGTCTTGTTCTATGTTTTTTTTTCATTATACTGAAGAAAGGCAGTAACTACAAATGCGTTTTCTTGTGCTATGATAAAGCTATGGACATTTTGTATCTTAATTCAACAAAGAAATGCAGTAAACTATCTTTTATATTAAATAAATCAGTTAAATACCTACTGCTTTTTATAAAAATGTAGTTTATGCTAATTTCCCACAAATTTCTCGTCTAGCAGTTACTGCCTTTCTCGATAGTTGGGCAGTACTACAAGCTGCCTGGGCAATTAAAATTGTGATCACTGCACTAATATATAAATGATTATCTTTCATATTTACACACAAAGGGTAAAACGCAAAATATAAACAAAAATAAATGTCAACCATTTTAGGTGTCATCGCGCATGGTTACGGAATTTTACACGGAAATCTATAAATTGACTTTTTACAAGACGCACAAATCGTACGGGCACGACTACGGGAGGAAGGAAGGAAGGCAATCTATAATTTACTTTTTTCGACATGTGTCATTAGCGCCCTCTAGGAGTAGCATAAAAAATTATGACAAATTTTAATTTCGCTAATAATCATGGTTCACTAGGTTTGTTTTTTGGCGAATAAAATCATCTTAAATGAAAATCGGTTGATATAATTTATCAGTCGTTATAACGACTAAATAGGAATAAAAATAGACAATATTTTTGCTTGTAAGGTATATGAAAAAATAAATTCAGACGGTAAACATACCTATAACAAAGATAAAATTAAAAAATAACATTTTTGTAAAAATAAAGTTACTATGTTAATTATATCAAACATCTTTGCTGTTTTTTTGTGATTTAAAAGCAGAATACTTGAAATCAATTGATATCAAGTATTCTTAGTCGACTAAACTAAACTAAACAAATTAAACTATAGTTTAGTTTGTTTTAATCAATGCAACCAATTTTGATTTCGCATTTACCCATACCCATACCATTGTATCATGGCATTTACCAACCAAAACCCTAAATTTGCAACGTTGCCAGAGTCCAGGTAAAAAAAAGAACTTTAAATATATATACGGAAAGTGCTACATTTCCGCACACGACTACCATTGAACGAATCGAGGGCGAAAAAGGCACTTTTCGCGTGTGTTAGGTACATTATTTTGTCTACAAGCAAGTTTTCATTTGTAGATAAAATATAGTTGGTACTTTCCGCTAGGGATGCGCATCGAATATTCGATGTTCATCAAACATCGATTTTTTAACATCGATCTTGCATTTTCGATGTTTTAATGACATCGATGTTAGACTTTGCGATGTTACTGTATAACAAATTAAATTTTGTCAACTTTATAATTGTCTAAATTACTGTTTCTACAGAACTTGGATAGGCAAAATTGGGATTTAACTTTTTTTGACTGATAATTTAGGTTTATTTTGTTTTTAAATTAAAAAAAGAGAATTTAAGTTTATTTTGTTTATTTTTTTATGTATATTTTTGTATAAGTTGGAAATAAATATATTTTATACATGTTTTTCTTAGACTTGTGTTTTATTTTGAAACATCGATTTTTTGGAAAAATCGATGTTTTCTACCCGATATATCGATGACAGCGATATTCAACCTTCGATGTAAACATCGATGCCAACATTGATGTTTTTGTATTCGATGCGCATCCCTACTTTCCGCACTTTTGAGGGTGCTTCCGCACAGTTATGACTAAAAACTTTTTGCACGCTTGTAGAAAAAATCTTTTTGTTACTAGCGTTCGGTATGTTGTTTCTTTCGTAGAAAAACTAACATATGAACTGAGGATTGGTGCAAGGATTGTTTTTTTTATGTTTATTTACTTTTAGTCTTTTTAAGACTATTTAGCCAGCTCATGATATTTATTTTTTGTTTAATAAAAAACTACAACACGCAAGGCTGTGACCAGGAATCGAACCCGGTACCGTTAGACGCAGGATTGTTGTACGCCGAAATGTAGAAATATAAATAGCACCGGCAACATTGCATTGAGATCTTCATCGAATAAAGTAGTCGAAAAATATACCGAATACAAAATAGATCAAACGTTTGCCCACTAAAGGCAGGAAATTTAAAAATGATGTATTTTTTCAATTTAAAAAACGCAAAAAGTTATATATTACAATTTTATTAAAAGAAACATATAAAATCATAGTAATTTTTAGTTATTTAAGGTATTTTGTTATAAAACTAATCACTCGATGTAACCAAGTTCGATGTAATATTAATCCAGTACTGCCAACTGAAGTTTCCGCTTCCTTTCCGTCTAAAACCGCAGCCATGAAAGCCAAGGGAGAGGTATGTTTTTGAAAAATATTAAGTTAAATATAAAATATAATACTAAAATGCTTTAGTTTTATTAATACATACATTAGATTTACTTTGATATAATTATGTGGGGTAAAATCTGCAAACTTTTGTTTATTATTGTGGTTTTACGTACACGTGGATACACGAAGTTAAGGTTAAGATATTTATGTTTATATGTATTTTCTGTTTTAGTTGAAGGAATACGAAGTTATCGGGCGCAAGCTCCCAACTGAAAAGGAGAAGACCACTCCTTTATATAGAATGAGAATTTTTGCTCCAGATCAAATTGTAGCAAAATCTCGTTTCTGGTATTTCTTGCGTCAATTAAAAAAATTCAAGAAGACAACCGGTGAAATTGTTTCAGTGAAACGTGTTCCAGAAAAGACCCCCATCAAAATAAAAAACTTTGGCATTTGGCTCCGTTATGATTCTCGTTCAGGTACACACAACATGTACAGGGAATACCGTGATCTTAGTGTAGGAGGAGCTGTAACCAAATGTTACAGAGATATGGGAGCTCGCCATCGTGCTCGTGCCCATGCTATCCAGGTAAAATTAAATTTTTAATTATTGCCTGACATTTGTTTAAATTTCTTCATAAGTTTTGGTTTCCTAAATTGTCATATTTTTTATATTTGCAGATCATTAAGGTAGAAAAAGTAAAGGCTGGTGATACAAGAAGACCACAGGTGAAACAATTTCATGATTCTACCATTCGTTTCCCATTGCCTAAACGTATCCAACACAAGTCTATGAACAGATTCTCTGTTCGTAAACCAAGAACATACTTCTTGTAATATGTTTAAGTGAATAAATTAAAAATGTTTATAAGTGCCTGTGTATATTATTTTCCTTTCAAAAATAATTTGAAACCCCTAAAATAAAATTATTGGTACTAAGCTGTTTCTATTATTTTGTTAAAAATATTTGATTCATGAAGAAAAATTATACTTGTAAGATGTCATGGGAGAAGGAAAAAGCTTTTTTCAGGAAGTAATTGCAATATATGGAATGATATTTTAAATTTGGTAAACTTAAATATTAGTGCAGTAATCTTTTCAACCAAGGAGTATTTTGTTTCAAACTTGACTCATTCGTCACTTGTTTAGTAAATTGTCTTCATTTTAAAAAATCTTATGACATTGGTTCTTTAATAAACTATTACCTAACATTGACCAGCAAAATTTAAAATAAAATTGGTTTATTGGGGCTTGATACAAAATACATTTATATAATTATGGATTTGTTAAAATATGAAACTAGAGATGACAGATGCTCAAGCACTTATAAAAGTGTCCATAAATAATGCTTGAGCGTTTTTACACACTTTTATTATTATCAATTTTATCATTTAGAAAAAAAATATTAAGCGCTTTTCGAGCATTTTAAAAGTAACCGGGTTATGTTTTGGCGAGAAATTTAAATATTGAGAACTTTTTAAAATGCTCAAGCATTTTTAAAAGCGCTTTTTGAGCATTTATGTGCCTAATTAAAAGTGCTCATCCTGCTCTATACTTTAGTAAAACTTTATGTGTCAGGAATAAAAATATATTTAGGATAAATAAACAATGCTTCTGTCCCATATTTAATTATTCTTTTTATTTGGGAACCATAAACTTTTTTCTCAGTGTAGATTAAAGAAATAACTTTGAATTTCAAGAAAACTTACCAATATTATTTATTGAAACTTAATTGATTTAATAACTAAGACATGAATTATTTTAACATTTTTATTAACTTATTAAAATTAGGTACAATTAACTACAAATTTTTAAACCAAATTAATCTCCCCTAATGGTTTCCAAATAATCGGCAGCTTCACGAGATATTCTGTAGTATTTGGCCAAAACTGGTCTGTAGTAGTAAGCTTGATAATCATTTCTTTCACTCATTTTCTTCTTGATTTGATCCTCTAGTTCCCTAAGAGTAAAATTGAATTTTATAAACAATTAACATTGCATTGAAAAAGGAAAATACCTAAGTTTCCTTTTTTCATCTTCAACAAAAATATAACACAAGTATTTTTCATATTCTTGCTGTGGGTTGGTGTAAACGTATCTGGCCAAGAAGCGGGTAACAGGACTCTAAAAGAGCAAAAAGTAAAAAAAAACCATTCCAAAAATATTTAACATTTTACTTTAAAATATTCCCAATATTTTGGTTCATATCCCTCAGGTATTTCACTTAGTTTAGCTGGCCCAATAAAAACATTAGCATATAGAACACCTAAGGAACAAGGAATAATTCCAAGTAACAAATAAAAGTGAAGCAAATCCTTGGTTTTCGACCATTGCCATCTTGAGGGTGCTATATTCATATGTTTGTGATCAGACATAGACCTTTTAGCAACTAAAATAACATTCCTATTTTAGAATCTATTACATAATTATATTTTAATGCTTGCACTAGTAACTTACCAGTATATCTTACTGAGGCACTTGTAAGCCCCAAAAGAGGCCTTAAAGTGCTAAAGACTACCATTTTACTTCTCTTTTGTAAATGATAAGCCTTATCCTACAGGGCTGTCATTAAACTGTCAAATGTCAATTGTATATGTCCTTCAGAGGCTTCATCTATGATTTTAAGGTTAATTTTTCATAACGTAAAAAATGAAAGTTAGACTTTTAAAATGTTAAACAGATTACTATTATTTGTAAATATAAGTAGTCCTAGAAATTTAAATAGAATAAATAATTTTAAAGACTTAAATTTAGTTCGTCAAATATTTACATCTATTAGTATGTACCTAATTTGTTAATTTTACAACAAACATTCTAATAAATTGCATTTTTTAGCTTTAAATCATGGAGAATATGAATGGCAAGACCCAAAATCAGTGGATGAAGTGTCAGTATTTTTAATTTATTTTATGAATTATCTAAAATAACTTTTTTTACAGAGTTAACGTCACTGTTGTCTTAAAAGATGGCTCAAAACAACAAATAAAGGGTAAAGTGGGAGATAATCTTTTATATTTAGCACACAGATATGAAATTCCAATGGAAGGTGCCTGTGAGGCATCTTTGGCATGCACAACTTGTCATGTATATGTTAATACAGTACACACCCTCCCAGAAGCAGATGAGAAGGAAGAAGACCTATTAGATATGGCTCCATTTTTAAAGGAAAACTCAAGACTTGGTTGTCAGATAATATTAAGTAAAGAACTAGAAGGATTAGAAGTTGAACTGCCAAAAGCGACAAGAAACTTTTATGTAGATGGACATACACCAAAACCACATTAATATTTTGTGTTTTATATATACATTTTATTGTGAATTAATTTGTTGTTTGTCTAACATAGAAAATAAAAACAGTTAGGTAATTAGGTAGGTATCCATTTAAGAAATTAAGTTAGGTTTTTCATTGAACCTATATTATATATCCAGGATTAGAGATTACTTAAATATCAAATTTCCTAACTGCTGGATAGGTTGTGGAAGCCAAATGCCTTGGCCTGCCTGGATCCCCGACTTCAACCCCCTTGATTTTTGTGTATGGGGATACATGAAATCACTTGTTTATGAAGAGACGATTAATACTATAGTATTAATTGTCTCTTCCCTATAGGGAACAACTATGGCAAAAAATTCAGAAGGTAGTGGAATCGTTTCAAAATGAACAACTATTATTTAAAATCAGGAGATCATTCAATAGATGAGTAGCCAAGTGCATTGAAGTTAACGGCAATCACTTTGAGCAATTATTGTCAAAACAAAATCTTTTCTTTTATTGAGATTTCAAAGTTTTTATAATATTAATAAAATATATTGATTATTCAAAATTTTTAAATTAATAATAATTTTATAATAGGTGCTCTAAAAATCTACCATTGTAATCTGAATTATTTGTAATTAAATTCTATTCTGTTCTTTTTGATTAATATTTAATACAATAATGAGTTTTTAAAACGGATGCATTAAATATTGTAAATGCACAACTTTCGAAAACAAATCCAGGAATCGACATTTAAAAGGTATACCTTTTTTGTGGGAAAATTGATATTACTTTAATAAAAACATAAATAAGCGAAGGCGCGAAAAAGTTATAACTGTATACACTCGCTATTATGTACCCAGAGCGCCGCAGAGAGCGGCCTCTACAATCTACATAAAAATTATTAATTAATTCAAATTTCTCGACCCGAAAAAACCCTAATCACAAAATTTTATGCAAAAATATTGAATTATAAATAAGTTAATTAGGAAAAACGAAAAATAAATTTTCACTGGGACACCTTGGAGACCATCATTGTTAACTTTTAAACTAAGCTAAGTTTGGTCAAATCGCAATATTTTTACCCAAGGAATCTGCAGTTTTACTGTGTAACATTAGTTATGGGACACCCTGTATAAAAAATTATATGGGCTGCTAAACAACATACAGGCTGCTTTATAGGTAATCTGTGCTTTATACAGTTTGTTTTTTTATAGGGAATTTGACACCGTCAAAAATTGAGTTTGTCAAATTCATAGAAATAATCACAATCCACAATCAAGCTGGATTTATAGTTTTAAAGGTAACGGTAGAGGCAGCGGTAAAGGTAGAGGTAAAGGTAGCGGTAGCGGTATCACTTTCTGCAATTTATAGTTCAGAAAGTAGCGGTAGCGGTACTGGTGGCGCATGCGTACTTTAATGCAGATTGTAATTTTGTTTGTAAAATTTGACAGCAAAAGGTTAAGTTTTCTACGAAAACATGGATTGCGAGGGCATTGCTAGCACAGCTGTGCATCTGGGCCATATGGCGTGCGAAATATTATATAATAAACCCTGCAACACAATATATTATATATACAATATATTATGTTGTATTGCAGGGTTTCAAGTACGTTATGGGGGTCGTCAAGTACGTCGCTATAAAACGAGGGAATTAAATCGGGAACGAGATAAGAAACGCCATTTCCAGTATTAAAATAAAATAAAATTAACCGATAAAGAGTAGTTCTTTAAATACACAAATGACGGTGCCCATTTTTGACAAATTATCAAGTCTGGTTGCCCCTCGCATAAAAACTAAACTTACAAGGCGAGGCTGCCAACTGAAAACTGCCGTGTGATTGGCTTGAGTAGCGGTTGAGGTAAGAAAAGTTGAAAGATGGTCATCTCTTGCCGCTACCTTCTTGCCTCTACCTCTCTTACCGCTACCTCTGACAACTATAAATAGTTTCGTACAATATCCAATGCCGAACTCGGCTACCGCTACCGCTACCTTTACCTCTACCTTTACCGCTGCCTCTACCGTTACCTTTAAAACTAATATTAATATTAATATTTCTATGGGCAAATTCAATGGACTTGGGCTAAGTGTTGCCAACAGTGTATTGGTATTTTCTACTCCCAAAACAGTGGCGGACATATGACCGGGCACTTCGGTGCGGTGCCCGGGGCCTTTAGACATAAAGAAAATTGTTAAATAAAATAATAATTATTAATACATCATTGCAATCCTACTAAAATATTTATTTAAACTGTATTTTTACGATAAAGCCAGATTCATAGATTTCCTTCCTTCCTTCCTCCCGTTGCCAACGACTCGTACCCAGACGTATAATAAAATCGAGAATTCAATCAAATTCAAGTAAGTAATTAGATTAGGTTCGTCTTGACTAATAGACTGTACGACAAACAAATTTTGTGCTGTAGTTTAGGTGAATAAAAATGTTTAGTTAAAAATTTTAGGTGTTTTATTTTTTATTCCTGTCAGCCAAATTTTGGCCTCATTTGGACGGTCTTTAATAGACCATAATAGGACGACCAAAGGCCAACCAAAAGTGTCTACTTTTGAAATCCCACTGACGTCCATTCGTGGTCTTCGGGACGTCATAACTCCTCCGTCAGGACTCCTAAGTATATCCAGTCAGGGCCGGGCCTAAGGGGGGTGTAGGGGGGGGGGTCACCCCCCCAAAGTCTTGGCAGTTGGTTCCAAATCCAAACACGGTTGGCAAAATCTATAGTATTTGGGTCGGTTGGTTGGGTATACCTACCCTACCAACCAACCCATCACAATAAATAAAATGTAATATAATTTTTAAACTTTACCTACATATTACAAAATTATAATTTTTTATCTATTGTAACCTCCTATAATCGTTACCGTCAAGAAAATTGTATTGGTCAACCTTATTTTTATTAAAGGACATTATATTTCACACAGCGGCATGTACAAAGTCGGCACCGCCTCGCGGCTCTGTCTTTCTAAATTATTAATTAGTTGAAGCTTATCTAAGCTAAGTAAAACTAGTGTAAATAAATAGGAATTATTTTTTTTTAAAATGCTCATTATGTGGATCTGTATTTAACAAGGACTAGAAAAAAATGCACGAGGAAAATATTTACGGTGGAAATTTGGTTAAAATTAAAATTGTTACTGTACCGGATAATCCACTTACATTGGTAGCAAATAAAAAAAATAGAGACTTCAAAAGAGCATATATGCTAATGGTAGGTAAAGACATTCTTTATCTACACTTCACAACACTTTACATTCATGATAAAACTACTGAAAATTTTTACCATTACTACTAAAGTATCGATAAAAAATAAGTTGGTTTTTTTATCGTCTCCACCCCCCCCAAAAAAGTGTGCCTCGGTACGCCCCTGTATCCAGTGGACGTTTGTGTCAGGGTTGCCAACTCTTGAGATGCACATTATAGTATTTTCTCAATTTAATTATAGTATTTTTTAGAAAAATTATAGTACAGATGACGTATAGGTTTTTGAGAATCAGGAGCCCACATTTTTCCCCCTTTTTTTACCAATAGGCTACTAGAAGTTAGAATAAAGACAGGTTTTTTTATTATATTAAAGGGTGTTTTTTTAAAAATTGGACAACTTTAAATTGGCAACACTGTTTTCTGTGACATCCGATTTGAGTTAGGTTGGTTTGGCAAATTTAATTTGAAAAAATTTATTTTGAAAAAAAACGGTTAAATTGGGGAAACACATAGGGCATTTCGTGAGTTTTATGGTGCTCATAATCGTCTTTCTAACCGATTAATTCAAGACACTATGAATCGTTTTTGCAATTCCTTTACCCTAAACAATAATACGCATCCCGTAAGACGTGGTACACACGCGATATATTTTTAAAAAACGATTGTTGTGACAATAACTGATAAGTATACAAACTTTGTATGCAATTGAAAATGTATTCTGTAGGTAAGTGCATACCCTTAATCATAAAATGTACACACTGTATTTACACGTATAACCTATAAAAATCTTATTCTGTTATAACAGTTAAATAAGAAAATAAATGCACGCGCCGCACTAATGCGCACCACGGTATTTCATGTGGCTAGTTTTGCTTTTGCATAAAAGAGGGCGCGAAAATACAAATTTTGCAGTTTTCTTTTTCATAAATTCTACAGTTTTCTTTTTTAAAAATTATAGATTTTTTTAAGAAGTGGGTATTATAATAATAATACTATTAAGTATTCAAAATTATAGTATTTTAACGTACTATAATACTTTGCTATAGTACATAGTACACCGACATAAAATTATAGTAGAAATACTATAATTCTAGTACGGTTGGCAACCCTGGTTTGTGTGCTGTTTGGGTTGGTTTTAACAAAATTTTGTCAAATGTTTTATGGTTGCTCTATAGGGATATCCCTATATATCCTTCCTTGAGTTATTTGCTATCGGTCTCAATAGGGGATATGTAGAAGTTATAACTTATGGTGTACCTATAGGTAATTTCCTGCTGGTGTCATAAGTATACATAATACAAGGCAACACTATAATAATTATTAATAAATCCTCACAACAAATGCAACTACCACCCATGCTACTCATTTTAATAAATCAGTCTTCAACCTACTCTGGTAATATTTACTTCATGGCGCAGTCGGTAGGATATTTGTATTTTGTACAGTGTTGCCTAGTATTATACAGGGTGTTTTGTAATTAATGTTATATATTAAAATACTGAATACCTTTTGACATAAGGAATAAAGGAAAAATATTTAAAAAAAACATTTTTCTAAAGATAAAGAAAAAATATGCATTAGAAGTTTTTTATATTTTTTGTGATACGCCACTGGTTACACACTTAGTTTATCTCTGCACACTTGTATTTTGTGAGTACATAGATACCAACCAACAAAGTAGCTATGCGTTGCCAGATGTAAAAAATTGTTACTAAAAATTTTTCTTGCAAAAAATAAATAAAAACTCAATAAATACAAAAGTTTTATGCCCTTAAAGCTCTAATACCACTCTGTATTTATTTACTGATCCAGCTATTAGCTTAAGCAATGATTAGAAAATTTAGTACCTTTGAAATTTGAAATCCATAACCACAAAATTAATTTTTTCATCAGTTTTTTTCTCTGTTTACTCAG